AAGAACCCGGCATACATACCTCGGAAAGGGCTTTTCTTTGAGCATGATCTTCGGGGGCAAACTCAGGAAGAGGAAGTCAGGTAACAGCTCTTGCTGCTATTTAGTATGTATTTAGTGTTGGTGTATGCCAGACATTTTGCTAAATGCTTTGACCTTTGTTATTTCATGTACTACTCCTAACATTTTAGGGTAGGTATGGTGATTGTTCCTCATACAAATGAGGAGAGTGAGGCTTAGAATATTTGGTAACTCTTGGTGGAGCGGCCAAGATCCAGACCCATACTTCTATTGCCTTCATTAATCTGAAGCTATGAAGTACCTGCACAGACTGCCTTATAGGAGAGAGATGTTTCCAAGGTGCTGAGTAGTTGGAAGTGAAGTCTTTCCTCATTTCTGTTCCTGTTGTATTTGAGCCCAGCAGGCCCTGAGGTGCTACTATTCACTCTTGCTTTTGGGAGGCCTGCTTTGTATAATCTGGGAAGATGGGGAGACTACACGAAGCTTCTTCTGTTTCTCTGCCCAACCCTGTTTGTTGCCTGAACATCTTTACTTGGCAAGTTCTGCCAACCCAAGACACCTTTCCCTGGTTTTATCCAGACCCAAGGGGCGTCAGCGAAAGCTATGGAAGGACGAGGGTCGCTGGGAGCATGACAAGTTCCGAGAAGATGAGCAGGCTCCAAAGTCCCGACAGGAACTCATTGCTCTTTATGGATATGACATCCGTTCAGCTCACAATCCTGATGACATCAAACCCCGAAGAATTCGGAAACCCAGGTGAGGAAATTTAGGAGCCTACACTATTGATATTGTAGAAAGAACTCTGCTTTTTAAAATGCCATTCTAGCCTTTAATTGAATGGGTGAGGAATATGGGAAGTCTCCCTGACCCTAAGTTTTTATCTCTAGTAATCTCTTTTGTTATTTCTTTTCTTAAGACTTTTCATTCCATTTTTTCAGGTTCGGGAGCCCTCCACAAAGAGATCCAAACTGGATTGGTGAGCGATCAAACAAGTCCCATCGCCACCAGGGTCCTGGAGGCACCCTACCACCAAGGACATTTATCAACAGGAATGCTGCAGGTACTGGCCGCATGTCTGCTCCCAGGAATTACTCTCGATCTGGGAGCTTCAAGGAAGGTCGTGCAGGTTTTAGGCCTGTGGAGGCTGGTGGGCAGCATGGTGGCCGGTCTGGTGAGACTATTAAACATGAGACTGGTTACCGGTCACGGCGCCTGGAACAGACTCCTGTGAGAGATCCGTCTCCAGAAGCAGATGCTCAAGTGCTTGGCAGTCCTGAGAAGGAAGAGGCTGCCTCAGAGATAACAGCTCCTGCTCCTGACACTGCACCACCAGCCCCTGACAGGCCTATTGAGAAGAAATCCTATTCCCGGGCAAGAAGAACCAGAATCAAAGCTGGGGATTCAGTCAAGGTTGCAGAGGAGGTGCCCCCTCCACCTGAAGGGCTGCCCCCGGCACCTCCAGTTCCAGAAACTACTCCTCCTCCACCTGCTAAGACTGGGAACTGGGAGGCTCCAGTGGATTCTACTACAGGTGGACTTGAGCAAGACATGGCACAACTAAATATAACAGAACAGAATTGGAGTCCAGGGCAGCCTTCATTCCTGCCACCACGTGAACTTCGGGGTAGGTACCTTAGGGTTAGTAACTAGCTTTTTTCTCTTTGCATTATTGGGTTTGGGGGCATGGGACTTATGTCTCTCAGGGATATGCTGTGTGAGAAATATCTACGTTTTCATTAATTGCAAGAAACAGATGGCTTCCTAGGTACATTCATCCAATGATCTTGTATAGCAGTTTTATCTGTTACCCAGGATTGCCTACTACTTTGCCTACTATTAACTGATCAGTTGTCAGTAATGAGCTTTTGAGTGCAGAATCCTTTATCACTCTGTAGAAAAGGTGGAAGAAGGCAGTGTTCTTATTATTTGAGCTAATGGATAAAGTTTTAAGGCAGAAACTTTTTCATTTGAATTTGGATGACTATCTTTTAAATTAAAAAGAAAACCTTTCTAATTTCCTTAATTTAGATCCAGGCTGTCCAATAGACTTTTCCATAGTGATGGTGCTTTTGAATACTTGTAATGTGTCCAGTGACTGAGGAACTGAACTTTTAATTTAAATTAATTGAAATTTAAATAGCCACATGTGGCTAGTGGATTATCATATTAGACAGCAGAGTTCTAAATACTAGGACCTACCTACCACCCCTTTTGCCCATCCTTTATGCCTCTCTCTAGCCAGATAGATCAAAGGATCTTTTCCTTAGTTTCTGAAATCTAATTTGAACAAAGATTGGAAATCCTCATAAAGACTGGGAGTTTCAGCATCTTTCTCTGGTATGCATAGTTTTTGAATACCAAAAACCAGTGTAGCCTAAACTGGAGTGGGAGTTGATCTTTGGATAGAGGAGTACACCCTCCTTCCCATGGATGTCTTGTTACCATTGGAAGGCAGTCTCTAGGATGTTATCCTTTTTTTGTCCTGAGCTATTTTCAGTCAGAGGGGAATCTCTTCCAAACTTCCAGCCAGACCTCTGTGGCCAGAAATAATCAGGTAGATTTGCAGAATATCCTTCCCCTGTCCAGTTGTTGCTCAGAAACTTGTGAGCTGAGATTTTTCACTATGTTTGATAATGTAATATGCTAATTGTAACTTTCCAGGGATTCTGTACAGGGACGTATTTGATGGGGAAAATTTGAATGTGTATTTTCTCACTGAAGTAATTTTTTCATGTTCAAAGGCTTTGTTGCTGTATTAAGGTGGTGGGCAGTGGGGGCTAATTTCCAAATGCTGATATTGACAAGAAGCAGAGATATTTTTAAAGGAATTTTGTTAGTTTAAAAACAGCCGTTCTGTACATTGGATTCTTCAACCTGTTATTTCCTTGTATGTTCAAGCCTTACTCACATCTGTTTACTCTGCAGCATTGACTTTTTTGGTGTATTGCAGGTATGCACAACCACATACACATGGGAGCAGGACCTCCACCTCAGTTTAACCGGATGGAAGAAATGGTACAGAAGGGGAAGAGAAGTAGATGGGGGAGGAGGCTGAATATAATAGCTTGTTCACTGTTTAAACCAAGATAAGATCGTGAAGTCAGTTTTTCTATTGATAACCACATTTCTTTTAATTTGGGTCTCTAGAAATGTAGAGGGTTTAGGTTCAAATCTTGATGTTTTTCACTGATTTTTCAATTCATTTTGCAAATATTTTTTAAACACTTGCCACACAGAAGGTAAGAATTTTGTATCTAAAGGAGGGCTGGACTTGATATGAGAGTCAGCCTTCTGGAAGTCATCTTGTTCAGTCTTCTTTCTTTATTTCAGGGTGTCCAGGGTGGACGAGCCAAACGCTATTCATCTCAGCGGCAGAGACCTGTGCCAGAGCCCCCTGCCCCTCCTGTGCATATCAGTATCATGGAAGGACATTACTACGATCCTCGTGAGTTTTTTTTTTATTATTGTTGGAGTACCTTTTTTGGCAGGGTGAAGTAAACTAAGAGACCAGCCTCTTACCTCCTGAATTTCCTTTCTGACCTCTCATGTGGTTATTATTGTTTGGTTGCTGTTTTCTTCACATGGAAAATTGAGAACATCTCTTAAAGGGTTTGGGGAACAAGGAGACTTGGCCATGTGATATGAGAGTATGGGTTTATGAGAGTCTCAATGTGATATCTTACAGTGCAGTTCCAGGGACCAATCTACACCCATGGTGACAGCCCTGCCCCACTGCCTCCTCAGGGCATGATTGTGCAGCCAGAAATGCACCTTCCCCACCCAGGTAAGCATTGCACCTCTGCTTATATACTTTTAGTATGGGAGGATATGTGTTGGGGGCTCACAAACTCCATCCTCCTGAGCCTCCGTGCTGCTTACCTGTAAGGCTGGCCACTCTGGTGCTTGGGCAACAAACTCCTCTTGGATCCATCCTAAGGACTGCCATCCTGAGCCTGTTAATGCTGAGCAGTCCAGCCAGGCCATCCCATGGAAATAGTGTTATCTTCTATTTCAATTTTTGTTTTCCTCTCTTTGTCCAGGTTTACATCCCCATCAGACACCGGCACCTCTGCCCAATCCAGGCCTCTATCCCCCACCAGTGTCCATGTCTCCCGGACAGCCACCACCTCAGCAGTTGCTTGCTCCTACTTATTTTTCTGCTCCAGGAGTCATGAACTTTGGTAATCCCAGTTACCCTTATGCTCCAGGGGCTCTGCCTCCCCCACCACCTCCTCATCTGTATCCTAATACGCAGGTGAGATGGCTAGTGAGATTTTTCTAGGTACACATCTTTTAAATCAGACAGGAATGTGGTATGGGGAGAATGTTCAAGAAATTTAAGAGAACATTTCAGTGCCACCTATTTACAAGTGGTGCTAGGACGCCTCTTGGTGGTCAGGAGCTGGAAATGCAGCTTCGTACTGTCCATCTGTTCTCTTTCATTTCTTTAATGGTGTTTCCTTCAAGTGTTTTAATTGGTCATAGGTGGCCATTTATTCAACTGCATAAAGAAACTGTATTCTACTTACTAGCTCTCCCCAGGTCCTCCCTGTACTGCTTAACTCCCAACTAGTTGACATCATCTGATATCTGGAGTATCACCACTGAGCTCACCCTCTTCTGTTTGTCAGCTGATAATAGGAATTAGACGAAAGCTGGGCAAAACTTTGAAGAAGCAGGAACCAGAGCATAACTGGGACATAATTAGGACATACCAGAACATAATCATTTTATTTTAAAAAGGGGCAGCTTAGAGTTTTGAAAAATTATAAATTTCCCAGTACTCTTTATTTTTGTGCCTGAACAATGTATTCTGTTTATTATAGCTTGAATTAATTTCTAACTTTTTCTTTTCCTGGCTCATTTGGGTATCCAGGCCCCATCGCAGGTTTATGGAGGAGTGACTTACTATAACCCTGCCCAGCAGCAAGTGCAGCCAAAGCCCTCCCCACCCCGGAGGACTCCCCAGCCAGTCACCATCAAGCCCCCACCACCTGAGGTATGAGAGCTTTTTCCTGTGTTTAGGGCATATCTATGTCAGTGGGCTTTCCTTTTCTCCAGAAGATTTCCCTCCTTTTCTGGGTATGTTTCTATAGAAAACTTTTTTTTTTTTTTTTTAAACAACCTGATAACAAATTCTAACTTTTTTATTTTAGGTTGTAAGCAGGGGTTCCAGTTAATACGAGTTTCTGAATATTTTAAATCTAACATGATATAAAAGTAAGTGTACAACTTACTATGATTCTTACAACGTTCTTAAAAACTAATGCTTATACTTACTTGCTTAGCAGTCAACAAAACGAATGCTTTAAGTTGTAATCATGTCCTGTCTTGGGGGAGGCTTTTAAGAAGTCCCAAAATTTCCAGTATCTTTGTTTCCCGAATGCATTGAGCAGGGTTGAGGTAGAAACCATTGTTAACTTGGCAGAATTTCATTTGGGAAGCTGCAAGGGAAAAATGCAAAGAAAGGGGAAATCTAAATTCCAGGTGTTATACCAGAGCTAATTCTAAAGGTCATGGAGGAGAAACACCATGGGTTGGAGTGGAGGGTTGTTGTTTTGCTTTTTTAGGGACATTACTTTAAAACATTATTTAGAATGTGGCTTTTTGAAAACAACTTTATAAGTACCATAAAGTCCACTAACACTTTGGTGGTTCTTCCCTTTTCCCCACCCCTTTCAGAACAGCAGAAATGAGAACCCAGGGAAGAAGAGAAATACAACTGGCCGTTTACTACCTGGAGGGCTTCAAAGATAGAGGGTGGCTCCTGCCAGCAAGCAGCTGAATGAGGAGGACCCCTGCCTTCCTCTAAGGCTCTGTTAGAAAAAGGGAGAAACAAGTGGACTTCCTCTCATCTCCAGTTTTTACTTGAGTCGGCTGTGCTCAGAGGAGCAGAGATCCAGACAGCCCAGGCTTCTGAGTCTACATTTAGAAGCCCAGATCTTTGGCTTTTCTTCACTTTCTTTTGGGAAATTCAAGTGTCTTCTGCACCCAGGGAAACTCCTTTCTATTTGTTTTGTTTTCTAAGACGTTTGTTTTTAAAGCCTGGCTTGCTATTCTTAATATTCTTTTAGTTTCTCTCTCTCTCCCCTGTCTGCATTTAAATGAAACAAGTTTATTTTTCTGGTTTGCTAGCTCCCCTGGTTCCCTTTTGGTTCTTCCCTGCATCCAGATAATTGAAAAATTACCAGCAGCCAGTCTTTTCACACCAAATCTACAAAGAGCTCGCCTTTTATTTTTGGTTGGCCTTTGTTGTTATATACTTGGATTATACTTAGATTCTCTTAACTCCTCTAACTCTATGGAACGGTTCTCTGCACAGTTTCCTATGGTGGAGAAAAGCTCAAAGTATGTGGTAGGAACACTTCTTCCTGGCTTCGGTTATTGGGAGTCCGCGCTTCCATTCTGGTGGGCTTCAGGCCTCTGCTGAGGGCATAGTCCCTACAGTAGGGAGAAGTGGCAGACCAGATGTTTTCGTGAGGAAGGGAGGGTGGAGTGAGAGCCTTTGCATCTTAGGGCTGTGCATTCACACAGTCCTCAGGGCTCAGTCTTTGAGGTAAGTGGAATCAGAGGGCCCTACTTTTTTTTTTATCCTAACACACCCCTTTTCTAGTTGCTGTGGACCAATGCATCTCTCTGGAGGCAAATACTATCCAGCAAGCAGTCTACCTTGTCCTTTGTAATTGATCTGCTCCGTGTCTTTCCTGCTACAAGTGTTTTAGATGTTATTACCTTATTTTCCCCCAAGTTCTCTTGTCCTTATAAACAGACAATAGTGCACTTGGGCTTAAGGCCTAAGGAAGCCAGTCACTTTGGGGGCAAGGGTTCCTCTCTTCTTTCCTCTCCATCTATGGCACTGAACCACTCCCCTGCTGCCTCTGCAGAAGAGATTCCTATTATTGCAGCACTTGTCTGCTAGAGGTAACTTGGCCACTGTCCCTGTCATTCTACAGAACCTGAGGGAGGAGGTGGTGGCTGTGTCTCTCCCCAAGTAATGTCACTGTTACTCTTCCTTCAGCAGCTGACCTGACCATTCTGAGTCACAGGTGTGTGGGAGGGGGAGCGGCACTCAAGCTGTAACCCCCAAGGGGGGAAATAACCAAGAGATTCTTCCAGGGGTAGCTGGTGGTTGTGCCTTTTGTAGGCTGTTCCCTTTGCCTTAAACGTGAAGATGTCTCCTCAAGCCTGTGGGCAGCATGCCCAGATTCCCAGACCTTAAGACACTGTGACAGTTGTCTCTGTTGGTCCGCTGTGTTTCACTGCAAGAATTTCTCCATGTGTGTTGTTTTTGTTACTATTTTAAAGGGTGCACATTTGTGATCAGCATCGTGACTTGAAGATAATAAAATTTAGACTGTAAACGTGGCTTTTTTGCCAGTGTTTTGCATGAGTTTTGATTTGAGAGGGAGGAAAGAGGATTTGATCCAGAGTCACAATCACAACTCGAGGCAGGTCAGACTTGTGAAATAGAAGCCCAGAGAGGTGAAGATCCCCTTTGAGTTCACAAGTGTGTGTACACCTCATCAATTATCTTTCCTAACCACGTTGCCACATAGACACCAGGATATCATGTAGTCTCTCAGTTGGGAAGTGTCAGACAAAAACTAGTGAGATACTCCTTATCCACATGAACATAGTATCCCTTATTCCTGCCTTTGTGTTTGTCATGCAAGTTTCCCAGGGTAATAGGCCAATTGTCAGCACAACTTAACTAGATCTTAGATGAAGTAAAAATACGCTGGCATTGAAGTATCAAAGACTATAGTTTGAGAGGCTCCTATCAATCAGTACAGGTTGAGAGGAGGGGCAGTTGAAAGATCAGCTGTGGCTCATGCTGCCAGTTAGTTACCTTGGCCTCTTGGCCTCTGATGAGCACAGGGTAATTCCTAGCTTTGAGTTGACTTGTTTCCTCCTCTGGGTGCTGTGGAATTTCACTACAGAGGCGATCCACAATGCAGGGAAGCAGTTGGGTTTAATGTGCAGCTGACAGCATCTGTTCTGGAGTCCCCCAAATCCTTGTACACTGGGGACATAGGTATTATGGCGCATCTTAAAATGATAGTTGGGACTCCCCCCTACAGCCCTTGGTGTTGCTGCTGCAGCCAGAGGACCATGGCTCTCCTAACCCCCATTTCTAATTCGTTTTCACATCAATTTGCTTCCTTTCTGCCCCACAGGGTGATGGGTATCTATGGGCCTATTCTGGGGTCACAAAAATGCCTGCCAGCCTTGGGGGTGGGTTACTGGCAGGAGGAATGAGCGTGTTAAGATACTTCCCCCTCACCCCTGCCTTTTGCTTCCCCCGTTAGATCCTGTTGCTCTCTGTTGCCCTGGTAACTGGCTCAGCAAGAAGAAACCCAAGCTCAGCAAAGCCCCCAAGTTCTCTGCCCTCCCACCCTGCCTCTCAGTGGGCAGAAGGAAGGGAGTGTACGGGACAGACAGATCAGCCTTGGGTAGCCTTGCTGCATCCCCTTCTAGAAGTCCATAGGCTGGGCTCTCAATGTTTTTTGCCCTATCTCCTCACAGTTGTTAATCATATCACCCTCTCTCGGTTTCTTCCATGGTGTAGGTGCCTTGCCAGACCTTTTCCCCTTGGAGTCAGCACACAGGCCTGCTACCTTGTGGGTGACTCAGAACAGCAAAGACTTAGAATCCCAGAGTTTCCCAGCATCCACAGCCCACTTGGATGGGGGTGTCTCTCTAGGGCAGTGATTTGAATCACTTGGGGATCTTTCAAAAAATAAATATTGGCGATTTGAATCACTTGGGGATCTTTCAAAAAATAAATATTGATCCCATCTCAGAGATATGATTTAATCGATTTGGAGTGTGACCTGGGCATCAGTATTTTTGAAAAGTTCCCCTGGATTTCATTGTACAGTTGAGGCAAGTACCACTGCTGTTTGAGAAGGATCATGCCTCAATGCTGGCTTTCTTCCCTGATTCAAGGCCTGATATCCTTGAGTAGTGGTAGGGGTTCTGGGGTTCTGCTCCCAGAGCTTCCCATTTCCAGAAGTCTCTCTGCCCATTATTTTTCCAGCCCCCACACCCTCCACATTCCCCAATTCTTCCCCACTTCCCGACAATCCCAAATCCTGCCCAGAGAGAAGGTTACCAAGGCAACCAGCTTAATCTGGTAACTGTGGCATGTGCTGGGAGTGGAGCCCTCCCCTCTTATTTGGTTCTTAAATGTCTAGGGAGATCCAAGCCACTGCAACCAGTTTCCCCCCTTAACCTTGGAGATATTGGGGTACCTAATCAAGAGAGCCCAGGAAGCTGATACTTGGATATTTATTCCAGCTTCTTAGCCAAAATTGTGCTCTCCCCTATTTACCGTTTCCTTTCTAAATCCACACAGATGGATGTGCAAGCTTTATTTCTGTGAACACATGCTCTGGCACGCATAGGACCAGATATGCACACTAACACATGTGTAGTACACAGTAGTACACACCCTGTTCAGTCCTACCACCACTCCCAGCCTTTCGCATTCCTGTCCCGCCTGGTTGGTGCACAGTAAACGGGTGGGGCATTGTCCAAGGAGCCTCAACCCATCTGGAACCTAGTGCCACTCCCCAACCTTGTTACCTTAACTTGGTGTGCTTACACTGAATGTGTCTCTTTATCCCCCTACTCCTTCTGGGGCAGTGTACTCTTAGGAACAGAATGCTCCCGGCATAGGCATCAGGAATAAGAATTATTTGGAGTGCAAATTTGGCACCACTTCCCCACTCCACAGTTGCGTCAACCCCGGGGGGGGTTCTCTATATTTGATGATGTCAGCTGCCAGTTCTGGAGCTTGTCACTCATCTCCATGGCCCTGTTTCCTCCTGCTGCCAGCTGGGCTTAGGTGCCCTTGTGCTTCAGTCTCCTCCCCCTACCTACTGCCTTTTCTCACCCCAACTAGACCTGCTACAACCTGCTGCTCCTCACCTGGCTCCAACCTGCCTGCCAGTACTTGCCTCTCACAGGCCAGGCTTTCACCATCTATTGTGCCCTACCAGAAAGGGCAGATGGGTGCCTCCCCCAGAGCCAATGACAATCCATCCAAGGCCTTCCCAGCCCTTCTTACAAGAAGAGAGATAAAGACCACATGTTCCTGTATGGCAACAGAGCACACTATCCAGGTTGAGAGTTATGGACACCCAACCAGCAATCTTTGTAAGCCTCACCTGAGTACAAGTAGCCCGGTTCTTTGAAATAATACCAAAGAGTCCTTGTAAGCCCCAAGCCAGAATCCCTCTCCATTGGTTATTCATTTCCCTACCCTCACCCTTAATTTCTGCATCTGCTCTGAACACTTCATCCAATGCTATTCAAGCCCTTACTGCTGCCCTTGTGATCATCCCCAACACCCAAGTTCAAGCCTAGCGCTGCCCAGGGGACGGACCCAGGAAGGACAGGGGCGGGGACTGGGCGGGGACTGGAGGAGGGGGTGCGGTCTCAATTCTGCCACCTTCCCCCGCCCCCTCTTCCCCCCCGGTCAGAAGCGCAGCCGCCGCTGCTGTCGCGGCCGCGTCCTCTCAGGCTTGCGCTCCGCCCGCTGCCTCTGCCGCCGCAGCCCGGCCCAGGAACGCAGAGCCCGGGCACTGGCCCCGGAGCCTACCCACCCTTTGGATCGCGTGCCGGCTGCAGGCGGCATGAGGCGCCGCTAAGAACGGGTACTCCTTCCCTCTGGCACCTCCCCCGGCCACTGGCCACTGGACTCCGGCCAGCGAGCCTCAGGCACCTCTGGCCCCCAAACCGGCGCCTAGCACGGCCCTCTGCTCTGCCCCTCCGGCTCTGAGCATCGTGTCCCCGCCCCCCCCGCCCGCGCCTGGGACACCTGGGTCCCCCGGCGGCCCCTAGGAGAGGGGTGGGGGGGGGGCATGAAGCCGCTGGAGAAATTTCTGAAGAAACAGACGTCGCAGCTGGCGGGGCGACGGTGGCTGG